GTGACGATCGGCGCAGCGGTTCTGGAGCTATATCGAAAAGTCTGGAGGGGGGGGGGGGCAAAAAATAGCCCCCCCCCCCCACCAGGGCGCGGGTTAATGTATAAAACATTTTTCTGTATCTCTAAAGCTGTAGGCCTGACAGCTCTTCTAGCGAAACCTTTTTTTTTTGGGTCGAAAATGGCAGAATTGACGTCACTCTGACGTCATTAGCGGCCAACCTATCATAGCCTTTGGAAAAATTTTTGGTCACCATGTGCGCTAGCTACTCCCGGGAGGGTACTGAAAGTTTGGTGACGATCGGCGCAGCGGTTCTCGAGATATATCGAAAAAACTAAAGGGGGGGGGGCAAAAAATGCCCCCTCCCACCGCCTGGAAGGTTAACCCGCGCATGACTGGGGTATTTTCCATAACGCGAGTGACTGGGGGGGGGGCTCTCCAGAGCCCCCCTCCTATCTCCGAAACTACTGGGCCGATCGTCAAAATTCAAACGGCGTCTGATAGCCCTGGAAAAACTGTCGAACGAAACCTATTTTCATTTAACCTCGAGGTCACCGATGACGTCACAGGTCAGGTCAAAGTAAAAATTATCGACATTTTTGCTAGTTCACAATTTAGGCTCTGACCACCGGACGGCCGGTCCGATCAGGCTCATTTTTGGTTTACGCACTCCTTGACGGATGCCTTAGATACCCTGAGGGTACCGAACTTTTACTTCGAATTTTTAAGGTCAAGGCCAGGTCATCCTACGTCACGAAAATTGTATATCATGTATCGGTCACGTGACGCATGTTTTATGGTCCATTTTACTCGTAGATTTCAAAAAGAGTGTCGTATGTGTCATTTGAGGTCATTGTCAGCTGAATTTACCGGAGGTGAGGTCACTTTCAGGTCAGAAAAGGTCAAATTTTGAAAATGAAATTTTTCAACAAAAAAAGGTGCCTATCAGATGCAGTTTGAGGTCAGGAACACGATGGTGCCATTTATATTGCTGTACGACGTCAAAAACGTACTGAAAAATGGATTTGAAAAAAACATAAAATTGTAAAATTTTGACATTATGCGAATAACTTGGCTATTTTTGAAGATATTGGGCTAAAACTTGCAATGTAGTTCATCAGTGTGTGTTCTACCACATATATTCCGGTTTTTGCGAAAAGTCAAAAACTTTTTGAAAAATAAAAAAAAATGTAATTGTGAATACATATTTTTTTCAAAATTTTCAAAATATCGAAAATTCGAGATAGCAGTTTGATAGCTACGTGTATTTGTAGTCCACTCATGCAAAGAAAATGGATCTAGCTTTAAATCTGAGCTCTTGAGAGCGTTTGCCGTAATTCAGTATTTTGCATGAAAATCGGCCGACATGACGTCACTCTGACGTCATTTCCGGTCAAATTATGGCAGCTGGAAAGATGACATTTTAACACAAGGTGTCAAATTGATGCCTTTGAAGGTAGCGCAAGTTTCGTGTTGATCCGACAAACGGTTTAGAAGATATTGCTTAGCAATATCTTCTACAGAGCCCCCCAGCCCCCCCCCCCCCCCAGTCATGCGCGGGTTAACCCTCGCCGGCCGAGGGGTGGGGAGGGGGGTGCCGCGCCGCCCCCCCCCCCATAGGGTTTTTTAGCGATAGCTCCGAACACGCTGGCGATAGAGAGCTGAAACTTGGCATACCTGACCTTTGATTCAAGCCGGATCTTTTGACACCAACCGCATTTTTAGGTCAGGTCAGGTCACTGACCTATGACGTCATAAGTGAACCTCTGCACGGTCTTCAGATGTCGCAACTTCGCAACGCCCTCACTGCCAGAGGAGATGTCACAGGGAAATGAAACTTGCAGGATCTAGTATCCATTATGAGTCTCACAACTTGTATATCTCGGATTTTTCCTGAAGGTGATATGAGGTCAGGTCATTTTCGTGACCTCACCATTAGGCATAAGTCAATGGAGAAAAATGAAAACTGCTATTCTGGCGCCGGGAACGATCTCCAACTATCTCAAGCAAACAGAATCGTGATTTGATGCACTCCTTGCAAGGTTAGATGCGTCACTTTTGCAATGTTGACCTTGCTTGACGTCATTTATGACGTCATCAAGGTCATATTAGTTTTTCGTCAATAACTCTTGATCAAATTGAGCTAGCGAGTCGGGAAAGCCACCAATGGACTCAGGAAGACCTGCCAAATCGAATGATATGCGACATGACCTCTTTCGACTAACTTCGTGACCTGGGGGTGCTGACCTGACCTTGACCTGAGGTCAACACCCTAAGTTGACCTGACCCGAACAAAAAGCATATCATTCGACGCGCATGATCGAGGCGAACACGATGCTGCCAAAATCGCGGCTCTGCGGCCGTTTTTTGCGAAGTTATTCACCAAAAACTGAACCGTACCTTGGGGCACTTGACCTGACCTCAGAGGTCACCGGTTGACCTAGGACCTTAAAATCGGGTACCAATCTCTGCGTCTCGTAACGGCGCACACGCTCGTTTTTTCCGCGACGCGCTAGCTCCACCAGGGGCGAAACGGCCAGGGGAGGGGGTCGTACCCCCCCCCCCCTCGGCCGGCGCGTATGTAGAAAACCAATAGGTCCGGCGAGGGTTAAAGTTAACCACACATACGGGGGTAGCTGCCATTTTCGTTTAGTAAAAAAAAAATAAAAAATAAAACAAAAAAAATCATCGTGCCAGGGCTGTGACGAAAAATAAGTCGCCTAAATCCGATGAGAAAACAGAATTTGGGGGTACCATAGGTTTGGCTCCTTGAGCTGGTGCCCCCCTTTGTCTCAAATCGTTCCGCCGCCTATGATAAGTGTAATAATAGATAGGAAACATATGTAGCGAAGAAATAACTTTTTGGCAAAGTATGTATATAGGGATTGAAAAATACAATAACCTTCGCCCTGGTGGTGGCGGGGCGTCCTTGGCCACACTCTAAAGGTTTTTATACGCGTGTTAAGAAAATGCGGCGAGCAGAGACGCAAAACGTTCTACTTCGTATAAAACATTAATTTTGCATGACGTGTAAAATTGACCCCAGGTCACCAGGTGGAGTTAAGTAACCATGCCCAGAAACTTCACAGTCCTTTTATTTCTACAGCTGATCTTCCTCGTATGTAGGCATATGAAACTGGATCCACGGTATACTGAATGACAGTTTCAGTGACGGCCATCCGTGTACCAAGGGCTTTATATATGACACAGTCAGGTCCAATGCACGATCTCAATATTATGAACAATACGGAAAAGTAAAAAAAAAAAAACGCATGCTGCTTTGAACAAACAAATCAGAATAGCAAGATATTCTCAAAATTATAACATCGCTATGCCTACGAATATGCAATGAGCAGGGCGCAGCTGATGGCCCGCGGTCACAAAGAATTAAGAAAGGTCATGTAAGGTCATAAAAGGTCACAAACAGTTTTTCAAAAATAGCATTCGCTTCCGACAAGGTAGAGCGGTGAAAGCACTTGGAATGTATTGAGCTCAACAATACAGATCAATAGGGATAAGCATTAAAGGGACCCTCCCACCTTAACATTAGTTTTGAGTTGAGATAGCCAAGTTTGCGGCCAGGCTCAGAAACCACCATTTATCCTGGTCGCAACCCCCGCAGCTTTATGGTGTTCAAGAAAATTCTTCCCTTTACTTGCAGGGTGGGACCAGCGTGGTCCCTATCTCTTAACCATTACGGGAATCTGATGACGTCATCAGGCTTTCGAACGTCCGTTAAATGTTTGACTAAAACGTTTTGTAGCACGCGGTGGTATATGCTGCGTTGCGCGCAACAAATGCCGCACTTTTAAATAAAGTCGCTAGGAACAGCGGAGATCCCAAAAAGTAAACAAAAGTAAAAGTCTAATATCTTGAAAACCGGTGAATATTTTTCGGTGAAATTTGGTAGATATTCGTTTTCGCTCTTCCTGAACCGAGCGACATCACTTTCATGCCAATTCATAAACTTTTTTGAAGGTGGGAGGGTCCCTTTAAGCAACATCATTGTTTTTCGGACAGATCATTACCTAGAGCAAAGTAAAATTCTAAAATTGACCTTTTGGGGTCAAATTATGACTCATTCGACGCGTCTCGACGAGCTAAGCAAGCTAGTAAAGCTTCAAGATGGTAAGCAAAATACCTACTGCACATTGATTGAGTCTAAAGTTCTTTGCAAACCGATGTTGGCAAATCCACCTATTTTTGTGGTTTTCGGCCTTTTCGCCCTCTGTGACCCGTTGTTGACTGTTGACTACTGTTAACTTAATGTCAAATCTGAGATCACGTTACCAAAATAAGTCTGAAAGAGCTACCGAATGCATTTTTCCACGACGCTGTAGCTCCTTTGGTTCACGAGTTATGCACCGGTTTGTGAAAAGTTCAAAATCGTTAAAATTTGATAATACAATTTTGTCGGAAATGACCTCTAGTGACCTCCGCGTTGAACTGAGCCAAGAACGATCAGTTAACTTCAGTTTTTTTTTAGAGAGGTAATGATTGCTTGTCTCCGCGTCTTTGTATCTCTCTTAGTTTTTAAGAAAATCAGTAGCCCCCCCCCCCAGCACCACGGAAGCGAAGTTGGCTGAGACCCACACCCGGGCTTAAAAAAAAAAACTGATCATGATGACTACTACCAAGCATTCTCAAACAGGTTAGGCAGTGCCTAAGCTGTCATAGTCAGCGCGACGACGCCATAGGCGGCGGAACGGGGGGAGTGCACCGGTGCACCGTGCCCCCCCTTTTGATTTTGGCATTTTAACATTAGCCCTATGGGTGATGCATGGAAAGAGTGAGACCAAAAGTCGGCAGTGCCCCCTTGATTGAAGGTGCTCCGCTGCCACTGGACGACGCTAAAAAACGTCAGGCACGAACTAAGTAAAGCGACGTCACTGTTCCATAGCCCTTGCAAACGCAGTAATGACAGCGAGGAAGGTCATTTCGGCGGGCGGAGCACCGTATAAAACCCGCCTGCGAGCCGGGCAACAGCAGAAAGGACACGGCGCTCGAGCTATACGCACTCACCCCACGCTCACTGACGACAACATGAACTTCAGGCTGGCGGTAAGTGATCAGGGGCGGTAAGGTTAGTAGCAAGAGGGCTCTACCACGCATAACTTTAGCTGTCTGCATCAGAATTAAATAACGCAGAACGCTTACGGCATTGACTTCTTTCTATTGCAAAACATCAGTTCTAAGACCACTGTTTCTCATTTTCCCCATACTGACAGCATTGAACTAAGCTGAGTATCTGCAAATTTCAGGTTTGTTAAGTGCAACTGGATCTAAAGACGTGACCATTGAAATATACTTAACGCCAGAGTCATGAACTATCTCGAATCCATGAACGAGCTACACCGGCTACAGCTACCATCACCGAGCAGCCCCGCCAGCAAGGCTCCCTCGCTCAGACACCCGTGTCACTGTCCACAGCTCGTGCTGCTGGTGGCTCTGGTCGGAGTCGCCGTCGGAACCGGATCATACGGACGCAGGACCGGCGGCGGATACTACCGTGGAAACGTCGGTGGTGGCGGATACTACCGTGGAAACAACCGCGGATACTATCCCGGGAACAGCGGATACTCCCGTGGAATCGGCGGCGGATACCAGGGCGGCCGCCGCATTGGATACGGCCATGGACAGAGGAGCTACGTCGGCTAGTCTCCCGACCGCTGCCGACCCGACCTACCGACCTATCGAGCTCTGACCGCCCCGCTGGTATCCGGCGGTGCGGCAGGGAAGGGGTGGCCGCCGTGCCCCTCGCCCTGGGGCGGGACTCACGTGAGACGCAACGCAGCTGATATGGATCTCCCGGTCTCTGAAAAACTGATCAGTGCCGGGTGGTCGGCGCTTATTGATGTTAGAGAAGAACTGTGCTGGATGTGACTGTGCTTGGAAATACAAATATACGTTTTATGTACCAGTAAATGTCTTTTACACACTGGTGAATGGTTCAACAGCGCCCAGTATGGAGCAGAAACGGACACTGTTTTCTTCCCTCGACATCTCGTAAAATAATGCAGACATGAGACTTTCAGATGCCACTTCCCATGTCATTTCCACAAATGCCGATGCCTTCTACATGCCTTCTACACACAACTCGGAGTCGGAGGTTGTGATAGCTCGAACGGAAATGACGTAAAAGTTGCGCCCTGTTTTGTCATTTTTGGCCGCAAAAAGGTCTGATAGAAGAGCTGTGACGCCAGCAGTTCAGAAGATTCACGAAAAATTGCAGAAAAAGGTGCATACATGATCGCGCTTGCAAACTGTTACCAAATTCTAAGGATTGCGGCCAACCCATGTAAAAAATAGTTCCATAAAATTCTTACAATATTGATGACAAATGATAAAAATAGAAACATGTGGGTAGGACGATACTTTGTTTACTTTCGCAATGGTGGAAGGGGGGTGGCCACACCCTTCAGTTGTTTCTGTGTAAAGAAAACCGCAACATGCAGCGCCGCGAAACTTGGTATAACTTATGCATCAATTTCATATCGTCTGTACAATTTCTCCCCCCCCCCCGGTTACCTAAGGTCAGGTCACCAGGTCAAGTTAAAAACCCATACCTCTAAAAAAGCGATCCTGTCATTCCTTTATTATAGGTCATCGCCTAGAAGTCTGAAACTCAGTTAATTACACAACAGTACCTACCAACTATTTGTATGTGTCAAATTTTATATATCTGTAAACTGGGTAGGTCAGACTTGTGACCTCACCATTATGCATATGGAAGGAAATGTGAAAAAAATACAAATACCTCTTGCATTGAACAAACACGTCAAAAAAAAAAAAGGAGATTTATAGATCTATGAACATTTTACCCATATGCAAAGGACAGGATGCAGCTGATGGTCAGCGGTCACTCAAAACGTCATGATAGGTCATAAAACACCAGCAATAATTCTTCGACAATAACTTTCGGTTCAGACAAGGCAGATCAGTGAAACATGTCCTTTGTTTTATTTATTTACCTCTAAGTGGCCATTCGCTATACCTATATGACCCAAGTCAAAGAGGCTATTCAGTCAATTAAAGATGGTGATGAAGTGGGTAAAAGAGCAAAATGCAACGACATAAAAAGCGACGTGTAATGTCAATGTGGTTGGAATGTATTCAGCTCAATAATACGGATAAATACGGATCCGAAACATTATTCTTTTGTCAGGTCATGACAGAGGCGGATCCAGCTCAGTTTTTTTTTGGGGGGGGGGGCAAACCATAACAATTTATCGATTCTTTCCATGCATCGTCCATAGGCGTAATGTTAAAACTATGCCGTTTGGGGGGGGGGGCAAATGCCCATTTTGCCCCCCTGGATCCGCCACTGGGTCATGACACAGAATGGGTCAAATTTCAATGTTGACCTTTTGAGGTTAAATTATGGTAGTAACATAATCTTGAAATTATGGTTGATTCGACACGTCTCGAAAAGATAAATGCGCTGATGGTTAGCTAAATACCACAGGTTGATTGAGTTTAAATTTAACTTGCAAGGCAATGTTGGCAAAATCCGTCTATTTTGGCTATCGTGCTCCGTGGGCCAAACTGTTGAGCTGAGGTTAAGTCTGTGAGAATGCTAATGTAAGAGCTTTCAAAGAGCTACCGAATGCGTTTTCCATCAACACCGTAGCTCTTTCGGCTCACGAGTTGCAGTGGTCTGTGAAATAAGGTCAATCAGGAAAATTTGACGGCAAACCTCTGTCATGGATGGTCAATAGTGAAATCAGCGTTGTCCTGAGCAAAAAAAAAAAAAAAAAAAACGACCTGTAGACTGTATACTTCTGAAAGAGCCTATACAGAGCTATTGGTTGCTTTTATCCGCGTCTTTATGGTTTTCTTAGTATCTGAGATATCCGGGTGAGGTCAAAAGGACCCCCACAACCATAGCAAAGTTGGCTGGGACCCACAGGCCACACCTGGGCGCGGGTTAAAAAAACTGATCATCACTACTATCCTGACTACTACCAAGCCTTCTCAGACAGGTTACCTGATTACTACCAAGCCTTCTCAAACAGGTTAGGCAGTGCCTAAGCTATCCTAATGAGCGCGACGACTCTGCAAAAAAAAAAACGGCAGGAACTAAGTAAAGCGACGTCACTGCTCCATAGCCCTTGCAAACGCAGGAATGACAGCGAGGAAGGTCATTTCGGCGGGCGGAGCACCGTATAAAACCCGTCTGCGAGCCGGGTAACAGCAGAAAGGACACGATCGTCGAGCTACGCACTCACCCCACGCTCACTGACGACAACATGAACTTCAAGCTGGCGGTAAGTGGTCAGGGGCGGTAAGGTTAGTAGGAAGAGGTACCTAGAAGGAAGGAGGAATCGTACCGCGCAGAACTTTAGCTGTCTGCATCGGAATTAAATAACGCTTACGGCAATGACTTCTTTCTATTGCAAAATATCAGTTCTAAGATCACTGTTTCTCATTTCCCCCATACTGACAGCATTGAACTAAACTAAGTATCTGTAAATTTTAAAAGGTTTATAAAGTGCAAATGGATCTAAAGACATGATTATTGAAATATACTGAAAGCTGCATGGTCATGTCAAATCCATGACCGAGTTACCTCAGCTACAGCTACCATCACCGAGCAGCCCCGCCAGCAAGGCTCCCTCGCTCAGACACCCGTGTCACTGTCCACAGCTCGTGCTGCTGGTGGCTCTGGTCGGAGTCGCCGTCGGAACCGGATCATACGGACGCAGGACCGGCGGCGGATACTACCGTGGAAACGTCGGTGGTGGCGGATACTACCGTGGAAACAACCGCGGATACTATCCCGGGAACAGCGGATACTCCCGTGGAATCGGCGGCGGATACCAGGGCGGTCGCCGCATTGGATACGGCCATGGACAGAGGAGCTACGTCGGCTAGTCTCCCGACCGCTGCCGACCCGACCTAACGACCTACCGAGCTCTGACCGCCCCGCTGGTATCCGGCGGTGCGGCAGGGAAGGGGTGGCCGCCGTGCCCCCTCGCCCTGGGTCGGCTCACACGTGAGACTCACCGCAGCTGATATGGATCCCCCGGTCTCTGACAACTGATCAGTGCCGAATGGTCGGCGCTTGTTGATGTTAGAGAAGAACTGTACTTGATATGACTGTGCTTGGAAATGTATTTGCTGCGCGCCACCAACGGTGGTGAGCGGCAAAGCCTTTCTCTGTCCGCGGGCGCAAAACTGTATAGCGACACCTACCGCTCGGCGTGAGCACTATGTGGCCCCCAGTGCAGTGAGCGCACGCGCGCCGTGCCACTAGGACGTAGTTTGTGCCGTGTTGTTTTCGGAAATAGTTTGTTGCGTCTGGTGCGGAACAGCAGTGCGGTGAGCCGCCTCAGGCTCCTGGCGAGTCTTTCTCACGTCGGGAAGGGTACTCAGCACCGGCATGGGCGGCCGTCTCGCTGTTGGTGCTACATCGGTGCGGCGTGTCGGCATCCACACGCCGAGTGGACGACGCAGACGCTCTCGGCAGTTAAGTCACGTTTTTTTTTCTATCTCCCAGTGGCATTGTGCGGCGTTTCGCTCCCGGCCGCGGCGCTGTCCGCGACCGCCGCGGCCCGATCTACTCGTGCGCTCCAACTGATAGCCGCCATGTTCGATCCTTTGTGGCCCGGGTCGCGGCGCGGCGCATTGTTTTTCACCGCCGGGACGTGTCCCCTTACCCCTCCCCCTACCCGACGCGGGGCGTGGGGATGGTCGTTCCGATACGTGCCGCCAGGCGGCGGCACCGACAGGACAAAGCGATACCCTGGTGTCGGCGGCGGCCGCCTGCGGGCGCGGTACTCGCCGCAGGGCGCTGATGAGACCGCCGGCGCGGCGGGGCGTCTTAGGTTCAGAGTAACATTGCGCCCAGTCGCTGCTTTTTTCCGCCTGCTAGGTTCCAGCGCCGGTACCATTTCCATGTCCTGGGCAGAAGGCGTGCGCCGTGCATGTCCCCCAGAACACGTCGCCTGGCGCAAATTATTAGTCGCTACTAGGTACTCGCATGCATGAGCATCCATCAAATGTCAGCTACATGCTTTTTATTATCTTTTGTAGGTTTAAGCAACAGTAGCACTGCTAGCCTCGGACGCTGGCTTACCCACTGGTCTTCCAGGAAACACCTAGCTCACTCTGCTGAAATTTGCTAGGGATTTTTTTTCTGCTCAAAACGTAAAAAAAAAACATAGGTATAACCTTTTTGTGCAGTTGATCATTTTTTATATTTTGATATAGGAAGAACCATATTCCATATATCGAAAAAAGACGCGGTAGCTTATTACGCGTTACCCAGTCATATTGCGTAGTTCTACTTGCGCATGCTGCATTGGCTGCAAGCAGCACGCTGACTTGGCTGACGATGACGTGGCTGCATTCCTTTGCAAGGCGCGCATTCCTCTGTACGGCACTCTTTTCGGAGCGGGAAATGGTATATCTTCGTCTAGAGTGATCAGTGGGCCGTAAAGGCAGCTGCTTTGTGCTAGTCTCAGCTCTAGCTACAAAACTGTTTTCCAGTTCAACACCCCATGCCAAAAGTGAACCATTTCCTTTAAAGGGCCTACACCAATTTTAACAGAAGTATTTTTTAACACGACCGGTAGCCTGGTTACCTATCGATGGTGGCTTCGTTGTGAAAAGCTCACGTGACGCGTTCCAACTTCAACATTGGCCAGCGCAAACCATCCGCTCACTCTTGATTTTATGTACATTTTGACCTTCTGTTCACTCCTCCCCCTCGCTCGGCGGCGCATGGGCGCCGCCCGCTCAGCTCGCAGCTGTCTCGGCCTGGGCGCCGGGCGCGCCCTGTTGGGTTGTCCAGTCGATCAGCGGGCTGGCCCTGGCGCATGTCTTTTTTTTCTCGCCGGCGGCGTCCGGTCAGTTTTTGGTTGGCTTGGGTCACCCGTACCCCGAGTGGTGGCGCACCGGTCGGCGACTTATAACCAAACTGCATGTTTATCGCTAGCGGCGGCCGGTCGGTCATTGGTTGGCTTGAGGGCCACATGCCCCCCTAGCGGCGCACGTCCGTCCTCTGCTGTCTGCCGCCGCGCAGTCGCCTGGGCGCTGTATAAATATAACGCAGGTGGCGGGTCGGCGTTTTTGTTTTTTCCTTTTTTGCAGCTACGACAGGACATTGTCGCCAGCGACGAGCGTTTTCGTTTGTGAGGGGCCTGGTGCACCCTGTGGGTTTCGATCGGCAATCTTTGACCCAGCGCGCATGCTCCTTGCCGGCAGTGACCGGTCGGTCAGTCAGTGGTAGGCCTGAGGGCCCGACGCGCCCCGAGGGGTGTCATATCAGTCGCGAGCGTGCATGCTTCTCGCCAGCGGTGATCGGTCGGCTGTGGCAGGCCTGAGGGCCCGACGTGCACTGCGGGGTGCCCCACCAGGTCGCGAGTTGACCCAGCGTGCATGCTTATTGCCAGCGGTGCAGTCGGTCGGCAGTGGCAGGCCTGAGGGCCCGACGCGCCCCGAGGGGTGTTTTATCCGTCGCGAGCGTGCATGCTTCTCGCCAGCGGTGATCGGTCGTCTGTGACAGGCCTGAGGGCCCGACGTGCACTGAGGGGTGTCCCACCAGGTCGCGAGTTGACCCAGCGTGCATGCTTATTGCCAGCGGTGCAGTCGGTCGGCAGTGGCAGGCCCGAGGGCCCGACGCGCCCTGTGGGGTGTATCATCGGGCAGCGGGTTGACCCGATGTCGTGCATGTTTTCTCGCGGTGGCGTTATGTCGGTCAGCGGTTGAGTGAGGTTCTACCGGCCCGGACGGGGCTGCTTGGTCTGACGGGCGGACACCGACGTTTTTTTTTCAGCTAGCGGGCGGACACGCGTGCATCCCCCGGCGATGCATAAGGGGTTCCAGGTGAACTGCACACACCGCGCTACGTCTCATCCGGGGCGCATGCGAGGCTCCCGCCCCTTGTTTTGTTCTCTTCTTCTTCTTCTTTTTTCTCGTTGCAGACATGCTCGTGATCGGGGACAGCTATGCGGCCCACCTCTCCCGGCACCGGTCGGCCGACGATCATGTCTCGGCAGTTGGCGTCCGCGGTGGCTTCATCTCCCAGGACAGTTTTCGGTGCTGGGCCATACGGACGGCAGTTACTCTCAGCTCCCACGTGGTGGTGGTCATAGCGGGCGCCAATGACCTCGCCTCACCCAACTGCCGGGTCCCTCCGTGGCTGCAAGACGTCACAGAACTGACGCTCGGCCTCCTGGCGGCCGGCGTCGGGCAGGCCTGGATTCCATCGCGCACCAGTTTCCGGGCCGGCGACGTGTCGGCACGGCTCTTCCAGTGCCGGCGATGGGTGGCCTACCGGCTGCGGCGCCGACTATTCCGCCACTCTCCGGTCCAGCTCATCAAATTCGTGCCTCCAGTCGACTTTCTCGGGGCGGATGGGGTCCATCCATCGGCGGCCGGCTGGCGGGCCCTCGACTGTGTCCTCCGGGAACCCTCGCCGCCTTCCCCGCCGGCTAGGCGTTCTGGGACGGGCTCGCTCCCACCCTGCATCACCACCCCGTGCATAGTTACCGTGAATACACGTCCCACTGACACTTGTTTTGTTTTTCATGCTTACCGGTGGTCTGATGCCGCGATCGGGCCCACCGTCGGGCCGCGCCCAGGCCCGCCCCCGGCCGGCAACGCCGGCGACTGGGCGGCGCCAGGCTGCAGCCCGGCGCCCTGCGGCAACCACTGGCGCTGCCGCCACCCGGGCCACCAGCCGCCGCACGACCGCCAGCACGCCGGACACACCGCTCGCGGCTCCCCGCTCCCAGTCGGCCCGTCGCGGCGGCAATGCCGCAGTCGCGGTTCAGGCCCTATCTACCGAAAGGTCGGTCATCGTTGGCGGTGCTTCACGCGGTTCGCTCCCCAGTCGCCGGTCTCGGCGCAGCCGTTCGTCGTTCGTTCGTTCTGCGTGAGCAGGCCTGCCGCCAGGGGCGATTTCGGCCTCGTTGGCGTGTTTTGGTGGCGCCGGTGATCCTCGCTTGAGTTCGCTCGCCATCCGTCGCCCGTGACACCAACACTACTGCTCACCGAGAACTGCGCGCCGATGGTAACCCAAAGGGTCAGGGGACGGTCAGCCCAAGCGCACCGGATACGCCGACAGACGGCCGTAGCCAGTGTCGCCGACGACAGCGTCCCACAGCACCTCTAGCAAGCTGGACTGCATTATGGGCAATGCCTGGCCGGTCCTTGGTCGCTGCGGAGACATGCGGTGGCCCCCGTCTCCGCCTTAGGCCCCATGAATAAGCGCGGCCCGTCCCGATGCCCGGGCCGGCTATGTTGGCCCCTGGTCGGCCATGCGCGTTCCTGATCTGCAGCTCTCGCCGCACACGCCGCGGCTGCCAGTTACAGGTCCGGTCGGGCTGACGTCAGTCAGCAGACTATCCACGTTGCGCCGACAGGCTCCTCGCAGTGATTTGGGACTTCTTTTTTTTTATCTGGCCACGCACGACCGATCATATGTGTATCTGTTTTGTTACGATGTACCCCATTTTGTGCTAACCAATGCTCGGGCTGTCTGTTATAGGCTCACTCGAGCCGCCGCCGCAAGGCGGAGCGACAGCCTCCAGCAGACCGATCATATGTGTAGCTGTTTTGTTACGATGTACCCCATTGTATGCTGACCAATGCTCGGGCTGTCTGTTATAGGCTCACTCGAGCCGCCGCCGTTTCTAGCCTGCTTATAGCGCACTCGTACCGCCGCCGCAGGGCGAAGCAACAGCCCAAAGCAGACCGATCATTATTGTATCTGTCCTGTTACGGTGTACCGCATTTATGGGGAAATGCTCGGGCTGTCTGTTATAGGCTCACTTGAGCCGCCGCCGCAAGGCGGAGCGACAGCCCAACGCCGACCGATCATATGTGTATCTGTTTCGTTACGATGTACCCCATTTTGTGCTAACCAATGCTCGGGCTGCCTGTTATAGGCTCACTCGAGCCGCCGCCGCAAGGCGGAGCGACAGCCTCCAGCAGACCGATCATATGTGTAGCTGTTTTGTTACGATGTACCCCATTGTATGCTGACCAATGCTCGGGCTGTCTGTTATAGGCTCACTCGAGCCGCCGCCGCAAGGCGGAGCGACAGCCCAACGCCGACCAATCATATGTGTATCTGTTTTGTTACGATGTACCGCATTTT